GCAGCATTGACTATAAATGGGTACAGGGTTTCTTTTGGAGTATGAAAACGTTTAGAATTAGTTGTGATGGCTGCACAACTTTGGTATGAATTATATGACCATAAAAATAAATGCATTTAATGAAGACATACTTAAGACAGATGGGAGCATTTCAAGGTAAATTTTACTTCAGAAGAAAAAACTGAATTCTACATAATGATATCAATACTTGTTGCAACAGGAGAAAGTTTACTGGTATCTGTAATTTACTTTGAACTGAACCAAAAAATAAGTTGACCTGGACTTCCCTGGTTGTTAGTGGATGAGAATCCACTTGCCAAAGAAGGGGACACAAGTTCGATCGTTGCTCTGAGACGATTCCACATGCTGTGTAGCAACTAAGTCCATGCGCCCCAACTATGGGGCCATCTGCTACAACTACTGAGGCCCACTCACTGCAACTACTGAAGTCTGTGTACCTAGAGCCAGGGCTCTGCAACAAGAGAAGCCACTGCTCTCACACCTAGAGAAAGCCAACACATAGCAACAAAGACCCAGCCAAAAATAATTAAGTAATGTTTTTAAAAGTTTTTATGTCTGTCAGATTTTTTAAAAATGACCTAAAGGTGAGCCAGCAAATTTGACAAACTCAGCAGCGGCTACAGGACTGGAAAAGGTCAGTTTTCATTCCAATCCCAAAGAAAAGCAATGCCAAAGAAGGCTCAAACTACCACACAACTGCACTCATCTCACACGCTAGCAAAGTAATCCTCAAAATTCTCCAAGCCAGGCTTCAACAGTACATGAACTGTAAACTTCCAATGTTCAAGCTGGTTTTAGAAAAGGCAGAGGAACCAGAGATCAAATTGCCAACATTCGTTGTATCATCGAAAAAGCAAGAGAGTTCCAGAAAAGCATCTATTTCTGCTTTTTGACTATTCTATAGCCTTTGACTGTGTGGGTCACAACAAACTGGACAATTCTTCAAGAGATGGGAATACCAGACCACCTGACCTGCCTCCTGAGAAATCTGTATGCAGGTCAGGAAGCAGCACTTAGAACTGGACATGGAACTACAGACTGGTTCCAAGTCAGGAAAGGAGTACATCAAGGCTATATATTGTCACCCTGCTTATTTAACCTACATGCAGAGTACATCATGATAAATGCTGGGCTGGATGAAGCACAAGCTGAAATCAAGATTACCGGGAGAAATATCAATAACCTCAGATATGCAGATGACACCACCCTTATGGCAGAAAGTGAAGAACTAAAGAGCCTCTTAATGAAAGTGAAAGAGCAGAGTGAAAAAGCTGGCTTAAAGCTCAACATTCAGCAAACCAAGATCATGGCATCTGGTCTCATCACGTCATGGCAGATAGATGGGGAAGCAATGGAAACAGTGAGACACTTTATTTTGTGGGGCTCCAAAATCACTGCAGATGGTGACTGCAGCCATGAAATTAAAAGACGCTTGCTCCTTGGAAGAAAAGTTATGACCAGCCTAGACAGCATACTAAAAAGCAGAGACATTACTTTGCCAACAAAGGCCCAGCTAGTCAAAGCTATGGATCTCCCAGTAGTCACGTACAGATGTGAAAGTTGGACTATAAAGAAAGCTGAGTATAAAAGAATTGATGCACTTGAACTGAGATGTTGGAAAAGACCCGAAAGTCCCTTGGACAGCAAGGAGATCCAACCAGTCCATCCTAAAGGAAATCAGTCCGGAATATTCATTAGAAGGACTGATGCTGAAGCTGAAACTTCAATACTTTAGCCACCTGATGAAAAGAATTGACTCATCTGAAAAGACCCTGATGCTGGGAAAGATTGAAGGCGGGAGGAGAAAGGGACGACAGAGGATGAGATGGTTGGATGGCATCACTGACTCAATGGACCTGAGTTTGAGCACACTCCAGGAGCTGGTGATGGACATGGAGGCCTGGCATGCTGCAGTCCATGGGGTCGCGAAGAGTCAGACACAACTGAGAGACTGAACTAAACTGAAAGGTTAGTGGAATAAAAAGAGATGTGGTAAAGCAACTGTCAATGGTAGAAACTTAGTATGAATATGTGGTGTATTAACTACAGAATTTCAACTTTTCTGTATGTTTGAAAATATTTATAAAATGTTGAGGGAAAGAATAGTGTTCAGTGAACACTCAGGAGATCCAGCCGGTAGACTGTTCTACAACTAGCCTGAACAATATTAAAAAAACAAACAAAAAAAGACTTCATGAAAGACAAATATGGGGAATTATAGAATAAAGGAGGCAAGAAAGACATGACAAAGGGAATCTGAATATGGACATTATATTAGCTATTTTGAATCACTAAGAAATGTCTTGAGTGTAATAATGATATTATGGCTATTTATGAGAACACAGCTGTGAAGGAAATAACATGGTAGAGTTATTAAGCAGTAAAATATCAATTTTGCAACTTACAAATGATTTAGAAAGAGAAACTGTGTTCTGTGTGCATGCATGTGCACACCCACACATACATAAACAGAAGATTACAAATGTGGCAAAATGTTAACATAGATCTAGGTGAAGGATACAGGAGTGCTAAAACTGATTTTTTGACTTATTGCTGGCTTTTTATTTGAAGTTTTTACAATATATCTATTAATCTGAAATTTTTCAAAATAAAAGAGAGGAAAGGGTTGTACCAAAGTGAATGAGACTTTTAAATAATATTGTCAAAATAGAACTCTCCAATTTATCCCCCACTACTGTCCTCTTCAAAATGCTCTAACATTGGTCTTCCTTTTGTCTCTCAAATGAAACATGGTGATCACAGTTTCAGGGTCTTTGTCTTTGCTGATGTCCTTCTACTTGGAATGCTCTCGCCCTAGATTTTCACTTTGGGTGTTTCTTTTCTAATCACTCAAGCCTCAACTGAAATGTAACCTCAAATCACCTCTTCTAATTCTTCTAATCACTTGATATTTTCTTATCAATAACTGAAGTGCTTATATATTTTTTGGTTTACTTTAGGCTTTTCCTCCACTACAACATAAACTACAGACAAGACAGTCAGCTGCTTTGTATTTTTAGGCTATCCTTCCATGTCTTCCATAGCTTATTCCCTATATACGAACATCCTTATATTCAGTGGAAAAAAAACTTAACTGGAAGCAGTAAAACAGCTGATCATTTTCTCTACAGGAGTGGAAGTTAGAGAAGTGTGGGGGCGGGGGGTTACAACTGACACAACAGAAACTGGACTGAGCTAAGGGACTGATGGTACTGGGGTCACAGACAGTATGAGTACATGACGGCTGTAACAACTGTGTTTCTGGATGCAATATCCATAAAGCTAGGATCAGATTCAACAACAGGTAGACTTCTTCCAAAAATTAAAATTTCCCTAAGATTTGAATTAGGTTTAAAAGGCTCCAGTTCTTTCAACTCTTCCACTTGATTTAACTAACATTTTTTCTGACCCTTTGCCCCAATCTGCCATCTGTTCTCCTTTCATTTCTACCGAATATTTCTATCTTATGCTAAATTCTATCTTTAGACTATGAAAGATCACTGTCTTCTTTTTGGCTATTTTATAAATCTTTGAAGTGGCATATACTCATGAAAATGGTGAATAAGAACAGCTGTAGAAAAATCTGAGGCCAAGAATGAGAAGGAATAGCTACCATGCTGCTGCTAAGTCGCTTCAGTCGAGTCTGACTCTGTGCAACCCCACAGACGGCAGCCCACCAGGCTCCCCCGTCCCTGGGATTCTCCAGGCAAGAACACTGGAGTGGGTTGCCATTTCCCTTCACCAGTGGATGAAAGTGAAAAGTGAAAGTGAAGTCGCTCAGTCGTGTCCAACTCCTAGCGACCCCAGGGATTGCAGTCTACAAGGCTCCTCCGTCCATGGGATTTTGCAGGCAAAAGTACTGGAGTGGGTTGCCACTGCCTTCTCCGAATAGCTACCATGATAGCTTGTATTTACTGACTGCTTATCAATTGCCAGGCTCTAAGGATTTTACATGCACTAACTCATTTGGTTTTCACAAAACCTTAGAAGGTATTATCCCCATTTTACAGATACGTAAACTGAGACAGAAGTAAAGTACCTTGACCAGTGTCATACAACTAGTAAAGCTAGAGAATTCAGATGAGGCCAAATGATCCCAGAGCCCTTGCTTTTCACTAACTGCCTTTCATCATGGCACGGAAGGCTTTAAAAAGTTGATGAAAACTCTGAGTGCTGAAATCTCAGAAATGAGAAGGCAAATGCATTAAGTATATTAATTTTACACATTATTGAGACAGATCCTTAAATTTGGGTGACTTTCCTTGATATAACAAAGAGCACAGGAAATAGGACATGAATAAATACTAACTTCTTAATAAGAATGTTAGCAGATTCTCCCCACATTTGTTTCCTGAATTATAAAACATAGCTTAAACATCAATCCCACTGTGAGTCATGGCTCTAAGTAGAATTCACCTATCTCAAGGACCTAAATCTTTATATCCCTGACAGCTCTGAGTATACTTCGTTTCCTCTATGACATTCTCATTCAGGATATTTTCTACATATTCCCATACAAAACTCTTGCCTAGACTCTACTCCCTAACAGCTGTGAACGTTTTGCAAAGCAGATCCCTGAAAGAGCCACAGTGAGCTCCAGAGTACTACATGTGGTTCCCTGGACATTTTGCATGAGGTATCAGGTGATTTCTAAAGCCCACTTAAAAAACATTCTACTGCTCTAGACACTATACAGCTTTCTTCAAACTTAAGTTATTAAGAAAAGGGGGAAAACTCCACAGTAGGCAACATATCAACCTAACTCCTACACACCTCAGGAAATGCAGAAAGAATCATTCAATGAAGGGTACAATATGATTTATGCAGTTTTGACTTTTTAAGTATTGATCTTAAAAACTGTTTTATTATAAAACTCTAAATAAATATGCTGATAACATATATAACTAAAGAAATAGAAGAGTTCTTCTCCTTATTAAAACACCCAGCTGCCCATAAAAAAGTGAGTAAGGTTCTCTAACCTTTCAAAGTCACCTTGCCTTGTAAATTTTGACAACCTATACACGGCCCAGTTGTTAAGCTGTTTAGAGGTCATTCCTCTTCCATTATCTATCACTGCAACGGCAGGTTTTCCTTGTGTTTCATCAAAATGCTATGAGATAAGTTCAAAAAGACAGGAAAAGTCGTATCAATATTAAAAACATGAAAAGTTCAATATAAAAAAATGTGACTCATTGGGCTCACTCATACATTGCTGGAGAAGTGTATATTAATACAACTTTCTAAAAGGCAATCCAGCTATATGAACCAAAGGCCTTATAATTTTTCATGTCCTTTAACCTAGAAATTCCATTTCTCAGAATGTAGCTTGAGAACTAGTCAGAGATGTGTACAAAGATCTATAAGGGTGCTCCTGATATCAGCACTGCTTACAATAGCAAAAACAAAGGCAAACAAATCTAAATGTTCAACAGCCATAGACTGATTACATAATTTATATTACACTCAATAAACCAAACTGCATCAGTGGTGTACTACACTGCAGAATAGCCATGATAAGGCAATGTTTACAATCTACTTCTAAGGGAAAATAGAAGATCACAAACAAAACGTACACTATGATCACACATACATGTATACATATATGCATAGGAAAAGGGCAAGTGAAAAAATTTTAATGAGACATCAGATAATTATTTCTACTTTTAGTTAATATTTTTTTTCCAATAAACGTGCAGTACTTCCATAAAAACACAAGTTAATTTGACTTAGAGTATTATTTTCTTACCAATTTGATCTGTATTCTTCTAACACCAGTGTTACGAGAAGTAGCAGACAAAGAATTGTCAATTAATTCTGCAAGAGCAAATGCTGGAAGAGAGTGAGAAAACATTACTGCTTAAGTTTTCCCTCCTAAATACATCATATAAAAGTTCAAAGAAGAAGGAACTCTGAAGTACCTTAAGCCATCACTTTTATTTTCCAAAGAGCTAAAATTAAAGTATTATCCTGATCCTAATGACACAAACATAATAAGGCATCATCAGTCACCAACAGCATAAAAAAAGCAGTCACCAACCAGTACTTGTATGGTACTACACAGCACGAGTGAGCCAGCCATGATTCCTGGCTTCAAGGAGTTTATAATCTAAAGACAGACATACACACATGAGACAAACAGAAGACCATAACCATAAAATCAAATAATAGTCTGTGGTATGTACTTACATCATGCACAAGTCAAAAGTAAGCACATTTAGGGATATGGGACAAATATAAAAGTGCCTATTAAGGGCTAATTTAAATACAGGTATCTCGCAACACCACCTTGTGAAATGGCAGAATGTATCTGCTTAACTGACACAAAACTGCTCTTAATTTCCTACTATACAACCAGCCTGACTTTCAGTTTATCAGTGGTTCAGCACTATTCTTGCCTGGAGAATCCAAGGGATGGTAGAGCCTGGTAGGCTGCCGTCTATGGGGTCGCACAGAGTCAGACACGACTGAAGCGACTTGGCAGCAGCAGCAGCGCTATTTCTAACATTCTCCTTTCTCCAGGGTCAGTATCCAAACTACTTCCCACTTTTATCTCCTTAATTAAAAGGGTGAGCATACTAAATTAACACCTCTTTCACCGAAGTGTAACTCAACTTAAGCTGTAATTAACCCACAAAGTAGCATTCCAGCAAGCACTTCCAAATGCTAAACATGTAGGGGATGGCTCCGTTTATAAACTAGTTGGAAAGTAGTCATCACAAATCAGATATGTATAAAGATCTGGCAAAGGGTATTAACTAGAAAATGGAGAAGTAGGGACACTGTAGGAAATGGGATGAAAGAGAGTTAAGGGAAATTTCAAAGAAAAAATGAGTAGAATTTAGTATCTGATTAGATATAAAAGGAGCAAGAAAAAGAAATTCAAGGGTGGCTTTGACTGCTTGTTCTAGAAGACTGGAAAAATGGTCATCTTTTTCCATAAAGGGAAAATTCAGATGGAAGGACAGAAAAATTCAGTTTTAGATGTGATGTCCTACCACTGTACCAAAGCTCAATAATGAGTAGAGGTGATGCACAGGGAGCTGGAACAGACCACGCTTAATGCAAAGAGTAAAACTGTGCCTATCTCAGTTACTTCTGCAAAACTAGGTCATTACCTAATGTTAGCTAACACAAAGGATTAAGGATCAAATGAGAAAATGCTCACAAAGCACTTGACACAGTGTCTGGCTCTGCAGCTGAGAGTAGTGACAGTACCAGCAGCAGTCAAGGTAAAGAAGTACAAGAATTAGTCACGAGAATATTCAGTCATTTGTAACAATTTAAAAAAAAACTGAAATAACCTGAATGTCTAGTAACAGCAGTATGTGTGTAGGTGTCTGTGCACTAAGTTGCTTCAGTTGTGCAAGACTCTTTGATATCCCATGGACTGTAAACCACCAGGTTCCTCTGTTCCTGGGACTCTCCAGACAAGAATACTGGAGTCGGTTGCCATACCCTTCTCCAGAGGATCCTCCCGACCCAGAGACTGAACCCATGTCTCTTACGTCTCCTGCACCAGCAGGCAGGTTCTTTATCACTAGCATCACGTGGGTCTCTTGCACTGCAGGCAAATTCTTTACCCCAAAGCAACAGTTTTTGTTGTTTGGGACTTTCGTCCCCAAAAAAACAGTCTAGTGTTCAAATAAATTACGTTATCTAAATACCGTGTAAGCCCTAAAATAAATATATATTAACATACATGTTAAAGATGTTCATTACATTTTAAATTAAAAGGTTGGTTTAAAAAGAATGCATGAGGAATTCCCTGGCAGTCCAGTAGTTCAGACTCTGGGCTTTCACTGTCAAGGGCCTGAGTTCAATCCCTGGTCAGGGAACTAAGATCCCATAAGCTATGTGGCACAACAAAAGGGGAAAAAAAAAGTATGCACCATATAATACCAAATATATATATATATATGAAAAGGTCTGAAACAATAAACACCAAAGTGTTGGTGGTGGTTACATCTGGGTGGTAGAGATAGGAATGTTCTTTGTGTTGTTTTTGTTTATCTATGTTTTCTAATTTTCTACCAACTCTAATGCATATACAATGAAAAAAACATTTAGTAACTAAGTTTACAGGGGACCTGCCCAGTGTTTCAGTGGTTGAGAACCCATCTGCTAACACAGGGGACAGATTTGATCCTAGTCTGGGAAGACAGCACACGCTGTGAGGCAACTAAGCCCATGTGCCACAGTGAAGATCCAGTGCAGCCAAAAATAAATTTTTTTTGAAAGAAAGAAAATTTATAGGGAGCTCCCTGGTGACCTACTGGCTAGGGTTCCAGGCTTTCACTGTCAAGGCCCAGGTTGAATCCCTGGTCAGGGAAGTGAGACTCTGCAAGCCACGTGGTCAAAAAAAGAAAGCAAGCTTATAATGAATACCTGAACACTTTTGCAGAGTCCAGATGGAAGAGATTCTCTAAATCAAAATAATCCAAGGTAGGACAAAAACTGTCTAATAGTAAAGGTGGGAAGAAATGATAAAGAAACAATAAAGAACACAAACCACTTAGTTGTGCGGTTCAGCTACAAAAAATGTGCAAGGTATAACAAATATCTTATCAACTGGGAGAAGAGTTTAGGAAGCTAGGAAGAATAACAGGAAAGGAGAGTGTACAGCAGGTAGATGTGTAAGGACACCATCTCTTATGAGTTGAAAAGGAATGAATTCTCATTTTACATTAGTTTTAAAGGAGAGGTATCTTTACTTTGATGTAAGATGACTTAGGTAGAAAAGGAAATATATTGTGATAAAGAGATGAAGTAAGGAGGTTCACAAGAACTGATCATAGTCTTTGAATAAAATATAATGAAAGAACTTTTAAAAAGTCTGATCAAGGGAATAAACGTGAGTGACAGTTTATCACAATCAGTACAAATGGAATACTTACGTAAAGGATTTTGTCCTTCACTTGCATAATATTCATACATGCCACTTTTAACCAATGTGTCATAGTGAGGTAGGAAGTCAATTCGTTCTTTAGTAGCTGTTTGCAGTAACTGATTGACTGACTGTAGCAGGTATAGAGTGACTCCATCTTTAACAGTTTCATCTGAAATCAAGAGGTAACATCTTAAGTGCTAAGCCAGCACCCAAAACACAATGAATTTATAATTTTAAATATATAAATTATATCTATGAAATGACTTGAAAAATCATACAGGCCAAAAAAAAAAATCATACAGGCAAATCCCCAAACAATGGACTGATCTATAATCAGTTGCGCTGTGTTAAGAATATCAGTGGAATACGTCCAAATACTTCCACTCATCTGAAACACTCAATTCTTAAGTCAAACTGTCACAGAAAATCAAATGAGGAATTAATTAAAGTGGTTATCAATATGAATGGGAAGAATGATTAAATCCAAAAAGGAATCAGGCATGGAAAACTGGCACGTCTTAGAATGTAACTGGGTAGAAAAGGATAACGGAAGACTCCAAGTCGGTCAGGAGAAGCAGCTCTGCGGCTGGGTGCTGAGCAAGGCCTCGTCGTTTGCAGCCGCAAGTGACAACTCTTTTCTTATAACCATGCTTGAAAAGCGTGAGCTCTGCACAAAGTAGATGTGCAGAGCCAGTTTCCTCCCCCATTTCAACAAAGTAAACAAAAATATCAAGAGTTTTTGATGCTTATCTATGTAATAAAATAGTCATTACCTTATAATGTACTAGAACGTATTAAATATAAAAGCATAAATGCAACGCTGCTTACCAAAGTTATCACTGGTAATTTCTTTCCTACTTGTTGTTGTAATGACAAATTTCTCTCCAGGTGAAATGCCAAGTGTCTACCGAAAATAACAGAATAAAATCAATTATTATAGAAAGGAAATAAATGCACTAGTTAAGTTTACAAAAATATGAAAATACTGATAAGGATATTATATACACACAATTATATTATATATATATAAATATACAATATATATTGTATACAATACAATAAATATACAATATATATAACAATTAGTACTACATTTTTCTGAGAAATATGTTTAAATATTTTAAAATTTTGCCTTTGCATAATTAACCACAAATCTATCTATAAATTACCTACTTGCTTAACAAGGTAGATTTTTCTGCTATTTTATGTCACCTAAGAACAGTGAACATTTTGAAAGTGTTTAACATCAGCAGAGCTCTCTTAGACAAAAGACATATTATTTTGTGTCAACATATAAAGTAAACTTATTTGGAGCAAAGCATTAACACTTATGTTCATATATATTAAAATACTTAAATATGTAAAAACAGAAGTACTAAACGAAAATAGAGGTTAATACTTTACAAGACTGATACAAAGACTGCCAGGCTATGCAGGATATCTGTATAAAGAACCTCTGTATCTATTATAATCTCTTCCAAAAGTGTAACTTTAAAAAATTAAGGCAAATTATAAATTAGGGGAGTAAACTGCAACACGAAACAAGTGCTAACATCCTTCAGAGAAAAAAGCCTTCATAAATCAAGATGAAAGTCAACAAAGAGGGAAAAACCATGAACAATAAAAGGACAGGAAAAAGTAAATGACCAAAAAAACACATGAAAACCTGAAATTTCACAACAAACCAAATATAAGAATTAGAAAAATGAGTTAATGTTTTCATTAAAATATTACATGTCATTAAAATTAAAAAACACACCCTCTTTCCAAAATCAAATGATAGGGCAACACACAGTTAAAAGACTTGACTTCTATTTCAGGTAATGATGAACTAGTTAATTTAAACCAACCTTACACAGACGATTACTAAAAAAAAAATCTAAACTAATGATACTCAAGTCTTCAATACTGATCTAAAAACCCTATTGGTCACTATTGAAACTAATTGAAAACCAACTCCCTACTCTGAACACCAACAAATTAAAGGGAAAGTATAGACCATTTATCCTGCTTTAGTGTACCAATCAGATTTCAGGGTAACTATGTATCTCTAATTGATGAAGCAAAGTTGTTCTTTTGCCTCATCAATTAGAGGCAGAGAATTTGTTAATAAATGGAGGAATGGCAATCAGAACAGCACTATCAATGAATGAACCATTAAATTAAAACTTTATTACGAAGGAAGCCAGCTGAACCCACTTGAATCCCACTCACTCAATCTTACCATTTAACAGTGGCAAGAAACAGAATGGGTGAAACAGCCATACATTAAGTGCCTTCAGATGTGATGTGATATGAAGTACCAACACCACCTATGAAGTATCTTCTCCCCCACCCCAGAGAAGCTTAGCCTAAATCTTAAGCCTGTAAAAATAACTTCTAGTTTATGGAGTATGTGGAGTTAGAACAAGCTAAATTACACCATAAAGGAATAGACAAATCCAGAATGTGGAATATGAGAGACAAACCAACTTATTTCTTCAACAAGTCAATGTTAGGAAAAACAAAAAAGACTAGGGGAAGGTATTTTGCTAAAATGCTCTAAATTTTAAAAGAAATTAAGAAACACAAAAAACCAAGTTCAATACAAGGACCCTGATTAAACAAACCAACCATAAAAAGACATTTTTGAGACAAACAAATCTAAGCATGGAATTAACTGTTAGATAATACCATTAAAAATGTTAATTTTGATGGTGTAATAATAAAATGCATGTTGAAGTGTACAGGAGTGAAGTAAACTAAGGCCTGGACTATGCTTCAAAAGGCAAAAATGAAGCGAACATGGCAAATACTTAAGAACTGTTGAATGTGGATAATGAGTATATGCAGGTTCATTTTAGGGGAACGACATTACAAACTGGTGAGGAAGAATATTGAGACAGTTAATGGTACAGAAGCATTAGAAATCCCCATCTCAACATACATGAAAATAAACCCCAAGAGAACTAAAGCAGCTACGTTTTAATCCAAAATTGTAGAGGAAAAATACAGAAATAATATTGAGAGAGAAAAGCATTCCTGAAAGTACACAGGAAATGCAAGTCATAAAGGAGAAAAACTGGAAAACATGAAAAGATGCTCCTCTTCACTAGTTATCAGAGAAATTAAAACTGGAGGACATGGCAGCCCGCTCCAGTATTCTTGTCTGGGCATCCCATGGGTAGAGGAGTCTGGCAGGCTATGGTCCGTAGGGTCGCAAAATGCTGGATACGACTGAAGTGACTTAGCACACAGCACACATCACTCCCGTAAGGCTGGCAAAAAGTGTAAGTCCTGATAATATAAAGCATAGGCCTTCAATAAATGAATAACACATGATCAAATGGAATTTAATCCAGAATGCAAGAATTTTTCAGCATCCTCAAATCAATCAACGTGATATATCACATGAACAAACTGAAGAATAAAAACCCGTATTATCATCTCAGTCAGCCAGTTCCATCGCTCAGTCGTGTCTGACTCTTTGCCACCCCATGGACTGCAGCACGTCAGGCATCCCTGCCCATCGCCAACTCCCGGAGTTTACTCCAACTCATGTCCATTGAGTTGGTGATGCCATCCAACCATCTCATCCTGTTGTCCCCTTTTCCTCCTGCCCTCAATCTTTCCCAGCATCAGGGTCTTTTCAAAGGAGTCAGTTCTTCACATCAGGTGGTGAAAGTATTGGAGATTCAGCTTCAATGTCAGTCCTTCCAATGAATATTCAGGACTGATTTCCTTTAGGATGGACTGGTTGGATTTCCTTACTGTACAAGGGACTCTCTAAGAGTCTTCTCCAACACCACAGTTCAAAATGCATCAATTCTTGGGCACTCAGCTTTCTTTATAGTCCAACTTTCACATCCATACATGACTACTGGAAAAACAACAGCTTTGACTAGACAGACCTTTGTCGACAAAGTAATGTCTCTGCTTTTTTAATACACTGCCTAGGTTGGTCATAACTTTTCTTCCAAGGAGCAAGTGTCTTTTAATTTCATGGCTGCAGTCACCATCTGCAGTGATTTTGGAGCCCCAAAAAATAAAGTCTTGTCACTGTTTCCACTGTTTCCCCATCTATCTGCCATGAAGTGATGGAACCAGATGCCATGATCTTAGTTTTCTGAATGTTCATCTCAGTAGATGCAGAAAAAAGCTTTTGATAAAATTCAACATCCATTTATAATTTAAAAAAAAAAAAAAAAACCTCTCCAGATAGTGGGTACAGAGGGAACACACTTCGACACAGTAAAACCGACATATGACAAACTCACAGTTAACAACATACTCAACAGAGAAGAGCTGAAATCATTCCCTCTAAGATCAGGACAAGGATGCTCACACTCACCATCTTTTTTCAACATAGTTTTCAAAGTCCTAGCCACAGCAACCAGTGAAGAAAAAGAAACAAAAGGAAATCAAACTGGGAAGAAAGAAGTAAAGTTGTCACTGTTTGCAGGTAACATGGTACTATACATAGAAAATCCTAAAGACACCACCAGAAAAATACTGGAGATCATCAATTAATTCAGTAAAGTTGCAGGATACAAAATTAATATATAGAAATCTTGCATTTCTATATACTAACAAGTGATCAGAAAGACAAATTAAGCAAACAATCCCATTAACCACTGCATCAAAAAGAATAAAATGCCTTATAAACTTCTGAAGAATAAACCTCCTTAGGAGGCAAAATACCTGTACTCCAAAAACTCTTAAGACATGAATGAAAGACACTGAAGATGACACAAACAGGAAAGATAAACTGTGTTCTTAGCATGGAAAAATCAATTTTGTTAAAATGACCATATTACCCAAAGCAATCTACAAGTTCAATGCAATCCAATCAAATTACCAATGGGATTTTTCACAGTACTAGGGGAAAAAACTTTAAAAGTTGTATGGAAACACAAAAGCCAAAACAATCTTAAGAAAGAGTAACAGAGCTGGGGGATTCATACTCCCTGACTTCAGACTATACTACAAAACTAGTAGAATCATCAAAACAGTATCGTATTGGCACAAAAACAAAGGCATAGGTCAATGGAACAGAACAGAGCCCAGAAATAAATCCATGTACTAAGGGTCAAACAATCTACAAGGGAGGCAAGAACATACAATGGAAAAAGACAATCTCTTCAAAAGTGGTATTGGGAAAACCGAATAGCCGCCTGTTTAAAAAAGTGAAATTTGAACATTCTCTAACACCAAATAAAAAAATAAACTGAAAATGGATTAAAGATGTAAATATAAGACTGAATACCATAAAACTCTTAGAGAAAAACATAGGCAGAACACTCTTACACATAAACTGCAGCAATATTTTTTTGGATCTGTCTCCGAAAGTAATGGAAACAAAAGCAAAAATATACAAATGGGGCCTAATTAAACTTAAAAGCTTTTGCACAGCAAAGGAAACCATAAACAAAGCGAAAAGGCAACCCACAGAATAGGAAAATGTATTTGCAAATGAAGTACCCGACAATGGATTAATCTCCAAAATATACAAACAGCTTATACAGCTCAGGATTTTTTAAAAAAAAAAATTTTTTTTAATGGGCAGAAGACCTAAAAAGACATTTCTCCAAAGACAGAGTCATCAGGAATATGAAAAGATGCCCAGTGTCGCTAATCATCAGGCAAATACAAATCAAAACTAAAATGAAGTATCATCTCACACTGGTCAGAACCGCCATCATCAGAAAGTCTACATGGAGAAAAGAGAACCCTTCTATACTGTTGGTGGGAACGTAAACTGATACAGTCACTATGAAGAACCATTATGTAGGTTCCTTTAAAAATTAAAAAGTTACTGTAAGATCCAGCAATCCCACTCCTGAGAATATACTTGAAAAAGACAAAATTTCTATTTTGAAAAGATACAATCACCCCAATGTTTACAGCAGCACTATTTACAATAAC